TACTCCTCCTTCTGGGCGTCAGTGAAGCCTCGTACTTCTGTTAACCTGTCAACACATGAAGGAGGGATCTGATTGGCTGCTGCAGGTCGGGAAGTTATCCAGACGAGAGCCGAGGGAAGCAGATTCCCCTTGATGAGGTTTGTCAGCAGCAGGTTGACTGATGACTTCTGTGTGACATCAGACACAACCTCATTGTTGTGGAAATCCAATGAAAGTCTGCTTTCATCCAGGCCGTCAAAGATGAACAACAGTTTACAGACAGCGAGCTTCTCTGCTGGGACCTTCTGTAATGTTGGATGGAAAACATGGAGCAGTGTGAGAAGACTATGCCGCTCATCTTTGATCAAGTTCAGCTCCCTGAATGAGAGCAGAACCAGCAGACTGACATCTTGGTTTTCCGAGCCCTCTGCCCAGTCCAGAGTGAACTTCTGCACTGTGAAGGTTTTTCCAACACCAGCGACGCCGTTGGTCAGAACCACTCTGATGTGTTTCTGTTGGCCAGGTAAGGCTTTAAAGATATCGTGGCACTTGATTGGAGTTCATGGAGGGTCTCCATCTTGGAAGCTGTCTCAAGCTGCCTCACCTCATGTTGGGTATTAACCTCTTCACTCAGTCCCTCTGTGATGTAGAGCTCAGTGTAGATCCTGTTGAGGAGGGTTCCACTTCCTGTTTCATCACTTCCTTCAGTCACACGTTCACATCTCCTCCTCACATTGACCTTATGTTCATCTATAACTTGCTGCAGATCACTATCTGCTGAAAGAGAAGAAAAATGTGAGACTAAAGAAACATATTTGGATTTTAAAGATGTTGAATCTGATGATTATTTTCATTACCAACATCAAAACAATTAATACAAATAAAGTAAGGAAAGGGTTTTAAAATGTGTTGTTTTTATAAAAGTATTTGATGTCTCTGCTATGCAACATAGCAAGTAAATAAAAGAAGAATCCTGTTTTCAGACATGATGACATCAGCAGATAGATGTGCAGTCTTACTTTGTACAGAGCTGCTCTGACCGGCTGTCTGCAGTCCAGCTCTTGTTCTGGATCTTTCTCCACACTGGGGACAGGAGGAGTCTCCTGATGAAGCAGACTGGTCCCAGTATGAGGTGATGCACTGTCTGCAGAACCAGTGTCCACAGCTGGTAGAGACTGGATCCTTCAGGACGTCCTGACACAAAGCACACCAGGACGGCTGCTCCTCCACAGAAACACTGCTTTTTATCTTCCCTCTGTAACGACATCTTTATGACTAAAATCTCAGTTACATTTCATCATTTGTGTTATGATGAGTTGCCGACCCCAAGAGGGCAGATCTATCATAATATGAGCCGACTTGAGGGCAGAAATCAGAGGACAGAGAGAAAAGAGGTGGCGTCAGGGATGGCCCAACCTTACAGCTGAGTGGACAACTCTGCAGCAAACGAGTGGGGCGGCTGCAGCAAGTGGGTCTCAGATAAGGTCTGCATCCTTTTCTTCTTGTTGGCAACCAAAGCATTTGGTTTTTGTTGTGGTACAGCCAAATATGCTTGAAGGTTATTAAGTCCCCTAAACCTAACAACAAATTATTTTACCAGCAGTAAGTGTACAGTGACAAAAATGTTTTGTCATTAAAGTGTAACCTCAAACATGGAGGACTGGTGTGTGGAGACAGAGAGGTGGAGCAGTCAGAGGTTTTTATATGAAAACAGGTGATTAGGGGCATGCCGGAATCGTGGAAGTGGCAATCAAGCTTGTTCACCAAATTCCCAATGACTGTGAATGATTAGGAAATTACATGAATTACATGCACTGCTTTACAGTTTTATGAATCTAGCCCATGGTGTCTACCTGTTTCCATCAAATATGTCTTATAACTGAATCATCTTCAGGTCAGTAACAGCAGGAACAGTCTCTTACTTTGTGTTTGAGGGTCCAGGTTCATTACTGAAGTCTGGAGGATACTCTCTGGATTGGTCACTCTTCATAGACAGACAGCTGGATGCTAAAGACTCTCCTCTCTGTCTGTGGTTTTGACCTCTGCAAACACCAAAATGTGTATAAATAACCGATGACTTATCTGATGAGAAAATAGCAAGGCTCTGTTTATTTAAAGTTAGCCTTTGACTGCAAGTCATCATTTCGGCTGTAAAATTTTCCTGAAAATGTGTACTCTGTTATACACAAATTTATCAAGGTTAACCAAATCATGGCTCTCTTCTTCTTCAGCTGTTTTTTCCTCCAACAAGGCCCTTTAATTGTTGATATCTTTAAATATTTTTATGTTTATCAGCAGCAGTTAAAACGGGAAAAGCAGGTTGTAATGTCAACTGCAGGATCTCAGTACTTTAAATATTGTTATAGCTGACAGTTTGGAGGTTCAAATGGTTGAAGCAGTTCTCTTACTTTGTGTCTGAGGGTCCAGGCTCATTACTGAAGTCTGGAGGATGACCTCTGGATCGGTCACTCTTCATAGACAGACAGATGGATACTGCAGACTCTGCTCTGTCCTCCTCTTCCTCCTCACAAACACTCATCTTTGGGACTTCAGTCAGTCTGAGAGGTGAAACAGTAACACTGACTGTGAGCTCACAACACAAGAATAGACCTCTGTTAGGAAAATTTCTCCTCCATCCCAAAGATGCACAGAGCCACAGGTTTGTCCAAATGAGTATTTTTTTCAGGGTAGAGACAACTGTGTGTGAGGATTTGAGAAAACGAGTGGACTTGGATTTGACATTACATGTGCATGTGTTAAAGGGGAACTTCAGAATTTTTAGATTGGACCCTTTTGTCCCATGTTTTTGTGTCCAAATGACTAATGGTGACAATACTTGGGGAAATGTGTCCAATACTGATTGATAGCAAAACGGGCTACAATGTAATTCTTCCAGGCAATTGGCACCGGCAACCTACCTCCACTAAAAGTGCTTGTTTTGTGTGTCTGACAACAACAACCAGACAGACATAGACCTTTTTGTTTAACCAGAAACAGCAGTTACATCCCGCTTTTCAAAGCCAGACTCCATTGACCTAACTACTTGTGAAAAGAAAGAGAGGAGGATGAATAAGTTAATGAATAATCAATATCAATTGACAAAGGTCAAACATTAAAACAAAGCAAAAAAAGGGCCATAAAATAATGTGGGGCCATTAAGTGAGACTGCGTATTTACATCTGTCTATAAATTGTATCCTACATCAACTTACAACAACAACTCCCCTTAAGCTAACCATCTCAGGGGTGTGTGCCTAAAGTAATTGATAATATGCACATCGACCGGTTCACCTCCCTTGTGTTGCTAGGTCTGTATGGAATGAACAACGTGAAGTAACATGTGAAAAGCTTAATGAATTTAGTTTCAACAGATGATGACCGGCCTGATTGAGAGAATGATCATGCAACAGTTCTAGGTTATTCTAAAATATGTATATCTCCATAAAAAAATAGCTAGGCTATACCAGGAACAACAATTACTATTTTAAGTACAAGTAGGCCAAACAATTTTTTCAGAAATATTAACAATAAAAAGCACAGTGGTACAGACTGAAATAGAAAAAAAGTATTTTTATGATAAAAAGATGATAAAAAGAAACAAAGAAAAGTTGAAGTAAGTGAGAGAAAACTAGTATACATGTTTTTGGTGAGATCAATACCTCTCCAGGGTTGATATCTTTGTTCATTCTAACAACAAGTAATTTAATAATAAATATGACTTAAATTAGTTTATAAAATTATATAAAAGTTTTTATAATAGCACATGTTAAATGAATGAATAAAATAGAAAACATATTTTGTTGAATATGTTTGAATGGTAGTTGCCTGTCTCTCCTTTCATGTGTCACAGTAATGATTAATCTACAGGTTACTTAGTGCTTTAACACACCCTGAAGTTTGCCCTGTCAGAGTTTTTCACTGTAGTAATAAATCGTGTTTATATGTCAGGAGTTTCTGCCGCTACAGTGACCACAGTGTTTCTTTTGTCCCGCTGCTAATGTGGTGACTTTTCTGTGTTGCAGCATTTATCAAAACATGTTTATGCCATATTTTACCAACAGAATATGCCAATAGCGCGTGGGTCAGAAATACAGAGGTCTGATTCAGCCAGATGTTTGAGAAGGCGTTTCTGGACATCTCTATTAGAAACATTAGTCTCAGGTCAGCTGATAAAGTCGCTTTGTTCAGATAATGCAGGAGGAGGGCAGATATAATTGGGGAGAAGACTAGACCACAGGTACAGATCACATTATTATTATAAATCTTCTCCTTGGACTAGGAGAGGAAGCTGCAAAATTATATTGAGAGAGCGGCTATTTATTTTGGCCTGTCTCCTAAGGTGGTCAGTGTAGGTGTAAGTAAAAAGCACTCAAAATACAGATCACTCATACTGTTCTTAAATTTAAATTATTTTGTCAGGTGTAGCTGAAGTGGTGGACAAAACAAATTACTATTAAATTTAATGAGAAAACTGAGAAAACGCACACAACATACAGTACAATGAACCCATCCAGCACCTGGTCAGTTTTCTTTAAATCTGTTTGTTTTCTTGGTTATGTTAATGTGTTAGGTTTAATGTGTATTATCACTCCAGAGACTTTGACCGTAAACATTAATAAAGTTGTATTAACACTCACCCTGCCTCAGTCTTCTTCTTCTTTCTTCTGCTCTTTCGATTCAAAATCGAGTCTGAGCTGACTGAACACTTTCAGTTTTGCTGTTTTCAATATCAAGGTTTCACATGCAGCACTTGTACCACCTGATCAGTGTTGCTCCTCCCATCACAGAAAATGATGGGTGTGTGCATTGTGTGAACAGCTCAAACTACCATAAATAAACTTAACCCAGCTTGAACAATGTGGTTGTTGTCAGCTGAAGAGGTATTTTTTGCTGCTGCAGCTGTCGTAACACCAAGAACTTTGTCCCATTCCTGCCAGCCTGTTACTCACCTGCATGATCTTCTGTCTGCCTGCCCATTGCCTGGTTAAGTTTGCCGTTCTTTGTTTGCCGGCTGGTTTCCTGACCCCTGCCTGCCTTTTGACTCTGACTAAAGACAATCTTTTATCCCTATCACCTTAGTTTATGAGTCTGGTGTTTGTGTCCAAACCTGCTGCCACACAGCACTGAGACAAATCTGGATTTGATAAACAGTGACTTCTCAGCTGTAACTGTCCTGTAATAATGCAACATTATGGAAAGGATCTCTACAGAGTAAAAGCTTTTTTTTAAAGTGTAAAATCCTTTTTGTTTGACCAAAAACAGTCACTTTATCGCTCTTGTCAAAGCCACCGGACTCCACTGACAAAAACAGTAACTTTACCTCCCTGGTCTACCAAAGTCACACAATAACACAACAGAGAGGCAGCGGTACCAACGACCAGAATTTATTTTTTCAGTGATTCTACTGTCTTTGATGAAAGCAACGTTGCGACTGTTTCTGGTTAAACAAAAAGAATCTTACTCTGTCTGTTTTGTCCCAATAATTCACACAGACACACGGACATGGGAAAATAAGGTCCAGGGTGAAAAAGAAGAAGTTATCCTTTAAGGATTTGAATTTAGTAGGAAGGTAAGTTTCTGGTGAACAGACCCTTTAAATGTAGGATTTTGTCACATGCACTGACTTCTAACTGACTGTGTGTGTCACCAGGAGAGCACTGTGAGGAGCATGTGGTTCACTTCAAGCAGGAATGGGGGTTGTCGCCATTCAGTGGTCGGTCCACTGGTTGCTACCACTAGGGGCACTGAAGCAAGTGGTCCGTGGACTGGTCTTTGTCGTCCTAATCCACCATCCATATTTGTTGCAGTTTGGGTGGTTAAACCTATAATAATAACTCTATGTATCCAAGGTCCCTGTGGTCTGAACCAGTTGTTCAGGGATCCGTCGTGTGGTCCAAATCCATTGCTCACCTCCTCTGTCTAATTCCCCTTCCTCCTTTCTTTCTCCTTTGGCCGTGCGGCACACTTTTGTTAGCCATTACTAGCTTGTTTAAGTTGATGTAGACAAATATCTAAACAAACCATTTTATTAAGAATAAAGGATTGGAGGATTTGTCATCATTCCAACTGATAGTTATAAATGTTATTTTATGTTTGACAAACCTTTTTAGGTTTTATCTAAAACTCCAGAGAAGTAATTCAACAAGTGGGTTTTATTTACACCAACATGCAGCACATTTATATTTATAGGAGAAGTAAGATGGGATTTGAATATCAAGATTTGTTTTTTTCTGCAACAATGTAAACTGAAATGAGAAAACAGTACAAATATACATCTACATAATCACTATTGATGACAATAAAGTTTAGAGTTAGTACTTATATATTATGTTTTGCTGATTAATTTAATGTCAAAATAAAAAATTATATAAGAAGTTATTAAAATGTTCTGGTGTTCAGTGCCTGACCAAGGTTTAAGACAGGACTGGCTTTTCACTAAAATCCAGATATAATTCAGCGACTAAAAAGCGACTCTAAGCAGTATTTTTATATTAACAATCAACAAATAATGAAGTGAACATGAATGAGGTCATTCATAGTGACAAACCCACAGATAATTGTCACAAGACTATGCAGTTCTTTAGTTCAGTTTTCTGCAACAACACAATCTGGTTGGATATACTAGTAAAAGAGAGTATTTCAAAAAGTAAACAGATGTTTAATCCTGCACTAACAACAACGAGACTTAAGACTGGAATCAGAATCATGTTTCAGTTTGTAGACGTCAAGAAGCTTTGATTAAATCCAAACTTTCTACAGGTATTATCTTCATGTTTCTCTGTGTTAAAAAATCATATATTGAACTGTGTGAAGAGTCTGGTATTGGTGTTAATAAGCAGAACTTCAGAGAAGAAACTTTATGCATGCAGGCTGGATGCTGCATCCAAAAAATGTGGAAATTTACTGCAATTCTCCATCAATCCACAAGGTGGAGCTGCAACAGAAAACAATATGAAAAATCCATTAAAATGTGTTAATTTGCAGTTATGTTGTCATAACCAGAACTAATCTGTAGAGGCACTTTGGGTACATATTATCTGAATCTAAGTCCAGGTCCACGTCCAGGTGGAGGAGGTGCCTAAGTGAAGCAGGAGTGGAGGAGTCTCAGTGTGTCTGCAGAGACTGTGTAGAAGGACAGAGCAGCAGCAGAGCAGTCCAGATACACTGATGATACTCTGTCACATCCAGAGGAACAAACAGGGATGATGGTGGACTTGACTTTGTGTCTGACAGTGAAGCTGATCTCAGAGCAGTTCAGATTGCAGCACTGTTGTGATTCCTCTGTCAGTCACTGCTGGATGAAGCTCTCCTCTCCACTCTACCTCCCAGTAACATGGCCCAGTCAGAGCTTCTCCACACACAAGCTGATGCTGCTGCTTCAACCTCTCTGGATCATCAGGACACAGCTGATCCTCTCTCAACACCACCACCTTTCTCATCACTCACTCTCTCACAGAGATCACCAACATCTGTTGAGGGAAGAAGACAAACAGCAGAAGTCATAAATCAGAGTTTACAGAGACTCTCTTCATCAGCTGTCAGTCAGTGATGCAGCACATCCAGTATAAAGACCAGCAGGGACTTCAGTCCTGTTCAGACCAGAAGTCTGACCCTAACCCTGTGTAGCGTAGCCAGCTTCCTTTCAGCTTTGAAATATTACAGGAAAAATGTACAGTATCTCAGAAAAGTGTGTACACCCCTCAAATGTTCTTTTCATGTGACACTGAAGAAATGACACTTTACTACAATTTAAAGTAGTGAGTGTACAGACTGTATAACAGTTTGATGTCCCCTCAACATAACACATCACACAACCATTAATGTCTAAACTGCTGGCAACAAAAGTGAAAATGTGTCATGTGACTCATTAGTGTTCCAAGGTCTCAGGTGTGAATGGGGAGCAGGTGTGTTAAATTTGGTGTTATCGCTCTCACACTCTCTCATACTGGTCACTGGAAGTTCAACATTCAACCTCATGGCAAAGAACAGTCTGAGGTTCTGAAAAAAGCATTGGTTGCTCTGGCCTAGGTTATAAGAAGATTGCCCTGAAATTGAGATGCAGCACGGTGGCCGAGACCATAAACCTGAACAGGCCTCTCCATGGTCGACTAAAGAAGTTGAGTGCTCGCGCTTAGCGTCACATCCAGAGGCTTTCTTTGGGAAATAGACGTATGAGTGCTGCCATCATTGCTGCAGAGGTTGAAGGGGTAGAGGGTCAACCTGTCAGTGCTCAGACCATATGCTGCACACTGCTTCAAATTGGTCTGCATAGCTGTCATCCCAGAAGGTGTTGAGAATTATTTTAGAAAATTACAGCCTAAATTGTTATCATTAATTGCTAGAGCAAAGGTGGTCTGAATTGGCATCATTTAAAGTATTATTTTAGAGTGTAAAGCTAAGATTACAGTGTCAAAACTCTATAGCTATTGTCATCATTTAGAGTGTTATTTTATAGTGTAAAGTTAAGATCACAACGCTGAAACTCCATAGCTCTGAGAGTGTGTGGTCCTCTCTGTGTCTAGCTGCCCGGAGGCAGTAACAGTAGCACATGTGTGTGTAAGCAGGCATGTGTGTAAGGAGCAGGATGAGCACAGCAAGGCATCATCAAAAACCCCAGCAGAGGAAAATGTAGAAGCAGAATTAGTGAAAATTGTGTTACAAAACATACATCAATACAGTAAGAATGTCCTGTCTATAGTACACAGCACAAGAGACATAAGCTTATTCCACAAAGTCAGGTTTTTGGTTAAAATGCCATGATCAGCAGAGGGCATGCCTAGGACACAGAGAGGGGGAGCATTGCAGACAAAAAGTTAGACATCAGTCAAGAAACAGTCATCAGTGATTATCCTTAATCACTATTAATCATTGTTAATCATTTTAATCAGTTTTATTGTCTTTAATCAGTTACTTTAAGTAATCATTCTTATATCATTTTTAATCATTTTACTAGTATTAGTTATTAATCATTCTTATTCATTTTCTTTTTACATAGATATGCTTTAGTTTTTACTTATAAGTAGTGAACTGTAGTCATGAACACAGAAACAGATCCTTGAGTGGGAGGAATGACTGCAGGAACAGACTACAGGTGGTTCGTCTTGTCCAACTGTCATCTACTGTGGATTATGACCATAGGAGAGGCTGCAGGTGTGCAAGATCTGCCGACACTGTGACAGTGCATGCTTTGTTCTGCTGTTATCTACTGTTGTTGTGATTACACGAGGAACTGCTGAGGTGTTAATCTGCTAACATTAAGACTACAGTGGGTACGGAAAGTATTCAGACCCCTTTAAATTTTTCACTCTTTGTTTCATTGCAGTCATTTTCCAAAAATCAAAAAAGTTCATTTTATTTCTCAGTAATGTACACTCAGCACCCCATCTTGACAGAAAAAAACAGAAATGTAGAAATTTTTGCAAATTTATTAAAAAAGAAAAACTGAAATATCACATGGTCATAAGTATTCAGACCCTTTGCCGTGACACTCATATTTAACTCAGGTGCTGTCTATTTCTTCTGATCATCCTTGAGATGGTTCTACACCTTCATTTGAGTCCAGCTGTGTTTGATTATACTGATTGGACTTGATTAGGAAAGCCACACACCTGTCTATATAAGACCTTACAGCTCACAGTGCATGGCAGAGCAAATGAGAATCATGAGGTCAAAGGAACTGCCTGAAGAGCTCAGAGACAGAATTGTGGCAAGGCACAGATCTGGCCAAGGTTACAAAAAAATTTCTGCTGCACTTAAGGTTCCTAAGAGCACAGTGGCCTCCATAATCCTCAAATGGAAGACGTTTGGGACGACCAGAACCCTTCCTAGAGCTGGCCGTCCGGCCAAACTGAGCTATCGGGGGAGAAGAGCCTTGGTGAGAGAGGTAAAGAAGAACCCAAAGGTCACTGTGGCTGAGCTCCAGAGATGCAGTCGGGAGATGGGAGAAAGTTGTAGTAAGTCAACCATCACTGCAGCAATCCACCAGTCGGGGCTTTATGGCAGAGTGGCCCGACGGAAGCCTCTCCTCAGTGCAAGACACATGAAAGCCCGCATGGAGTTTGCTAAAAAACACCTGAAGGACTCCAAGATGGTGATAAATAAGATCCTCTGGTCTGATGAGACCAAGATAGAACTTTTTGGCCTTAATTCTAAGCGGTATGTGTGGAGAAAACCAGGCACTGCTCATCACCTGTCCAATACAGTCTCAACAGTGAAGCATGGTGGTGGCAGCATCATGCTGTGGGGGTGTTTTTCAGCTGCAGGGACAGGACGACTGGTTGCAATCGAGGGAAAGATGAATGCGGCCAAGTACAGGGATATCCTGGACGAAAACCTTTTCCAGAGTGCTCTGGACCTCAGACTGGGCCGAAGGTTTACCTTCCAACAAGACAATGACCCTAAGCACACCGCTAAAATAACGAAGGAGTGGCTTCACAACAACTCCGTGGCTGTTCTTGAATGGCCCAGCCAGAGCCATGACTTAAACCCAATTGAGCATCTCTGGAGAGACCTGAAAATGGCTGTCCACCAACGTTCACCATCCAACCTGACAGAACTGGAGAGGATCTGCAAGGAGGAATGGCAGAGGATGCCCAAATCCAGATGTGAAAAACTTGTTGCATCTTTCCCAAAACGATTCATGGCTGTATTAGATCAAAAGGGTGCTTCTACTAAATACTGAGCAAAGGGTCTGAATACTTATGACCATGTGATATTT